GCCAAGTCTGTTCCATATAAAACAATATTTATTCCGTATGTAATGTATTAATTTTTCAGAACTAGTGATAAAGATTAAAATAATAGCTCCTATTGTATTGTTTTCTCACAGCTACGATATGCACGTGCTTTATAAAAGATGTTCACCCCGAATTCGCCCCCATCCACCTCAAAAACCACGGAAACGCTCTCGTAAATGACCTTTGACCTTCATTTACGATAGTGATTCTGATTCCGATAAATAAGTCAAAATAGCAAAGTAAAAGCAAGCGTATTTTAAGCTGGGATTATCAAACGTTTACTGTGTATATTTTTTTGTAAACGTAAATCTTTGCCGAATCTTTGTAAATCAAAATATAAGCATCCGTGTTCATTGGTAAGAAATGAGATCCAGTATTTGATAGGATGTGGTTATCATTTCTGCTAATTATTTTTGTATTATTCGATGTTTTCCCCTATAAATTGTTCAGAGTAAGAAATAGATAAGTTACTCATACTACCAGACCACCATTTATAAACACTCTGCCTGCTATCTGATAAAGTTGTGTACATTTTTGCATGATAAAGTTTTGTTGAAATATGTGCACGTTCCTGTCAGGTTGCAGTCGGTTTTACACGTCATGTGATCCCAATGTAACTGCTATAGTTTAATACAGCATATGGACAGAGCTGGGAATGAAGTACAAAATAATAAGATAAAATCAGACAGACTCTATCGGGTTAATTAGTAGAAGAAATAACTGATTTAATACGACCAACATAAGAGCGGTGTTATGTATTATGTATATAAGTTAGTTATATCTTCTAGAGGGGAGTTTTGAGAGGGGCACAATTACAAAGTATTGCTTATAATCTTCACATTTTCAAATATTGAGGAATTTCTCAAATAAAAACTTGTTGACAAAAAGAGAGGATGATGCTTGATTTTGTGTATTGTGTCCAGGCAGACTGTAAAACTGTGTGAATGTGACTTACATTTAATCAACCAATCAGAATCCCCCAATTATTTGGAAGGTTACCCAAGGTGCCGGGACATCAAAGAAAGGTGCCGGGACATCAAAGAAAGGTAACGGGGAGGAATAGTCAGGACTATGTCAACACCCGGGCGATCGGTTGAGGAGATCGTCCACGCTTTTTTTGTCGAAATCATTCACCTGTAAAATATTGAGGAGATCACCCAAGCGCAATAGGACCGATTATCATTTCCTCGAGGAGATAACCCAAGCGAAGCTGGTCAAGATCCGTCATCCGTGAAAATTTGAGGAGGTAGCCCAAGCGGGCTAAGTCGTTGATCATGCAACCATATCGTGTTTAACGAGCCTTGCAATCTGGAGGAGAAAATCCAAGCCGGCGGAGTTAACTAACCGTATCAATGTGTATTTACGTTGAGGAGAATGCCCAAGCCGGTCAAGTGTGTATTCGATCTCATGTTTTAACTGCCTGATGCCTGAAACTGTTTGTATCCAAATTAAATAACACAATAAAAATCGAATAAAGCAATATTTGGCATCTACTTTGTCAACAGCATCAATGATTATGCCATCATTGGTAACGGCTAATAACAGGTCCTATTATTTAATTGCTGTGTTCATTTTCTTGAATTACAATCTTATGTTTATTTCAAACAGAATAAAAATATGAGAAAGTCACAATATATATATAAAACGTGAAGAAATTGTAAAATATCTTTGGCCATAAGAATTTTGTTTCTTCTCACAAGGAAAAGTAATTTGTTAATTAATGTATATTTATTTCTGGTTGTAATAATAAGCGTAAGTGTATTCCTAACTCCACTATTAACACATTTTTAGTATAGATAAGCTAGGGGTATTTTCATGTTTTGTATAGGAATTTACTAGATTGTTTATTTTCATGGTCAAAGTTTACGAATTCTCTAAACTTTCATCAAGGGAGAATGAAACAAAAAGAAACGTGTATTACTTGTGAACACGCAGATTGGGTAGATGTAACCTACATTTAATTAACCAATCAGAACCTCCCAAAATACTCAGAAGGTTATCTGAGGGGTCGGGACATCAAAGAAAGGTAACGGGGGAGGAATATTCAGGACTAAGTAAACACCCGGTCGATCGGTTGAGGAGATTGTCCACGCATCCCCGGTCTAAATCAGTCACCCGTAAAATACTGAGGAGATCACCCAAGCTCCGTACGGCCGATTATCGTTACCTTGAGGAGATAACCCAAGCAGAGCTGGACGAGATCAGTCATCCGTGAAAGTTTGAGGAGGTAACCCAAGCGGGAAGGGTCGGTGATCATACAACCATATCGTGTTTAACGAGCCTTGAAGTCTGGAGGAGAAAATCCAAGCCCATGAAGTTAACTAACCGTATCAATGTGTATTTACCGGGACGTTGAGGAGAATTCCCAAGCTGATGTATTTCTAAATTCAAGTTTCTAATTTCTTTAGGGGAAAAAAGTCTCTAACAAATGAAAAATTCGTAAAATAAAAAATGCATTTTTCGTCGTCTTTTTTTAAGTGGTATTTTCAACAGATTTGTTTATTGAAACATGGAATAGAAATACGGGCGACAAAAAAAAATTACACCTGTTTCCCGACCAGAATAGCCCCTATAGCTCTCATACAGGTGATACGTAGCTAGGTGACAATTAATCAAGATTTATTCCCCACTCCGTATAAGTCTGTCATAATTCACGCGCTCCAAACTGGGCCAAGGAGAATTAATTCGTTTTAATTAAGAAAACAGTGATGACAGAGAACAGTAACCTTGAATAACAGGAAAATGTAGAAATATTGGGGGAAAATTTTAAAAATCAAAACAGAAATTCTAAAATAAAGTTTTGCTCTTGTTGCCATTTTTTTGTTGATTTATCACCAAGAATTATATAAAAAATTATATGGAGTGAATTACGAAAAAAAAATCACAAATATATAAATGTTTTACAATATGACAAATTCTTAATTGACAGTCTTTGGTTTCGACAAATTTTATTGCATTTACAAAAGGATTAGACAACAGGCAATGCCTATATTAGTCTTCTCCTGAAGACAGTCTTATATATCGTATCGTCATAAAATTCAGTATCATTAACTTAGAAAGTTTAATCTCCATCATATGGAATCGAAAAGAAGCAAGAGATTTAAATCGTCTATGATTAGGGTTAATAATTGTTCAGAAAAGAAGGTGCATTTATTGTGATATTTACACGGCATTGTTGAGGCTGTGAGAGATTTGACGGATACATCAGTGTAGCTGTGACAGAAGATAAAGGCGGTTCTGTATTGATCTAGGACCAGTGAGAACCACCAGCTCTGATAAAGACACGGCCCTCCCTCCGTCCAGCCTCCCTGGTCCATTGGCGCCTGATGTTTCCTCCCTGTCGACTCCGCTCTAAATTGGGCGCCTACAATGTGGCGCCTTAATCCTCTTCAAAATATTGTTTTAATTTGAATGAATAAATATAAGTTTAACAGCTGAAAAATAATTAAAATTCTCTCCGATAATAGCATTGCTCCTTCACCGATAAATCATCTGTTTCCTTACTTGAGTGCAACATACTGTCTCTTCCTATTATTCCTTCGGAAACGAAAATGTCCCGAACCCTACACCGCCAATGCGTGGAACATCTTGTTACTAAATTGTTGCTTATTTGAGCATTGTTATTTATTCATTCCTCTCTGATCTCGGAAAACATAATGAACTCTTTTTAAATATACGAAATATAAAATATCCGATATTTATTGTTTTTCAGTATGTCACTAATGTTTTTATTTATCCCACAACCACTTGTAAGGGTATTAGAGTCCTCGCACCATTGATGAGCTATTTTGTGGGATTTTTGTGAAATGTTCAGCATCCGCATCTACCTCTCATAAATATGCATCAGCTTTCTACAGCTAACATGTAGTTACCGACTGTTTACACGTGCGCTACATGACGTTACAGCCAATTTCCATTTCTCCACGTTTTATAAATTTAACTACAAGACAAAAAGGGTGTTCAATAAATCTTGATGCCGGAGCGAGTGTTGATGGAAGCCGTTCGTTTTTACGACATTTTTTTCGAAGTTGTATCATTCACGGCGCCCGCGTGCCTGATGAAGGCGGAGCGAATGTTAATGAAAGCTCATTGCCTTGTTACGATGAAGGGGCGGTACGGGATGCCTTTCGTGTGTTGATGTGTCTTATCAGCTGAACATTGGCACCGAGATCACCAATACAGATAGCACCATTCAATGGTCCACGGGTTTTTCGGTAAAAGCTGTAATACAAATTTGTAAATTTCTGCGTCTGTAGCCTCACAAAGTTTCACACCTGGGTCGGCCGGAGTGTTGAAACTGCTACATCGCCTTACTGGGATTACCGAGCTTTTAAGCCCCAACTGTCTGACGGCGGAACGTGTTCGTTTCACCAGCTACATTTACATAAAAAGGTAATTATTTTAATTATTCATCAAATTAGAAATAGAAAAGTATAAGTTTGATTTACTTTTTGTCATTTTATAACAGCATTATCAGAAATAGTAGATATATATATATGTGTGTGTGTGTGTGTGTGGCACAACGGTTACCATCTATTTATTACTCTTTTCATTTTAGAACGAATCATGTTCTTGTACATTTTAAACTTTACACCTGTACGTGGAAATTTATTGTTAGAATTTAAAGTGGATCATAAATCAGTCTACAACTAGAGTATGTAGTTTGGGTAGTACTTGATGTAAATTATTGTCGTCCCATTCGACATTCTACTCTACCAGCTAAGGTGCTCAACTTGTCCCAGTGGGCGGGCCATTCTTTCAAAGCTCAATACGGGTACCTGTGCAATTGTCTCGGGTGGCCGTAGCCACGCCCCCTCGCCCGGTCACGGTGATCAAACTACTCTCTGCCATAGAAAACACCTAAGATCACACATTTTACCGGTTGCCTGATCTCACCTTACGGGTTGACCGTAATTTGATTGGCAGTTGGCTATCCAAATTTCACGGGCGAGTGAACACCTGGTGTAATAAGGACACAACTCTACTCAAACCATCACTTGTAAAAATTGCAACCTGTCATGTAAAATTTGGGAGCTTATTAAGGCGATAGGAGAGAGTTTGAAGTCATTGGTGTGTTCACACAGCACGTGTTAACATCTCCTAACCTACTGTCTACTTCCTACAGTGTCGAGGACTACACCTACACGGATATCTACTATCATGTTACTGTTGCAGGGAAATCACTACCCCACACCTTCCTCGTCCTTACCCTCGGGCATGTACGAGGAGGATCTTATCACCCAGAGGGCCAGGGCCTTTCCCCTGGGACATGGACTCATGCCCACCCCACAAGCTTTTTCCTTTGGATTTCCCGTCCATCCAGCTCATGATCCTATGGGACTCCAAGGTATGTGCACATTTTTATTTTATTTTATTTACGATATCGCGACGAAAATTCTTATACAAAATTATATTATAGTACATATATTATTTTACAGTTACAATATCGTAACCTAAGTTTCCAGTAAAGCAATAATCTAAATAGAAAATTATTATTGTCTGGATACATAGATTCATCTTTCTTAAATATTTTATTAAACAAACGATTATACTAAAATATGGGCCAACAGAAATCATTGAGGAAATACTCGAGGCATAACTTTCCGGCTATTTACAGTATAACATTAAATATTTCATTCCTCTTGTGAGGAGATCTACTTTTTTAAATGCAAGGAAAATATAACATTACATATATCACATCATATTTCCGATCGAAACAGTATTTTTCATGCGTTTGAATATTTTCACTGCAAATTATTATAAGATGGGTAATTCAGTTTTCCCGTACTCGAGGCACTTAAAATTGCATAATTTTCCGGCTATTTACAGTATAACATTAAATATTTCATTCCTCTTGTGAGGAGATCTAATTTTTTAAATGCAAGGAAAATATAACATTACATATATCACATCATATTTCCGATCGAAACAGTATTTTTCATGCGTTTGAATATTTTCACTGCAAATTATTATAAGATGGGTAATTCAGTTTTCCCGTACATTCTGATCACGAGGAACTGTAACGTTGTGTACTTCTGTTATGTTACGGTATGGACTATTTACTAAGAATGTTTAACGCTGAAGGCCTTGTTATCCTGACATATATACAAAAACATTACGGAGCAATCGTATCTCTGTGACGAAGACATTTAGGGTAGGAAATAATTTAGAATAAAAGATTAAAATATTTATTTTCGTATAACTATCAAGTTGTATACGGTAGCCAGTATATTCAGGGGTACTCCGAATTGATATCTGGTATATAGCTACGAGTAAAATAACAGTTGATCGTATACATACAATGCGTTAAAAGCGTGATACAAATTATAATAAATGGTTCGCTTTTCTCAATATTATTTCAAGCAATGTACAGGTATTTCTGGAGACTGAAGAAATTGGTTTTTTTATATTGTAAATAAAACACGAAATTCTTTCTTTCGATCGATCATTACATAACACTTATTTGAAATAAAATAATAGTGCATATATATATCTCTCTCTCCCTGATTATATGTCCGTAAATTCAGAATTTTATTTAGAAATACCACTGACCGGAAATTATATCATTTTGAACTGACACATGAAGTCGAATATGATTCCCGTATTTCTGTTAACTATACAAACTCACAATCTTTAGTTACATTTATAATTTCGAATCTAAGGCCGGACCTGCGTCCGAACAAACGCTTAGATTTATTAGTATGTCCACTTGTGGTCAGTTCTGTGGTTGTCACCTTGAAGTGATAAGACGCATTGGACATTGTCATAATCACAAATTAGGTGACAACTGCAGGTCCTAATGATTATATCTTACACGATCACAACATCATCTTCAGCGCGGCGATCTCCTCGGGTCAACTTCTGGTTTCTTTATTATCTCGTGCGTTTAGCGTCGGAAATTTAAAATATTATATGCAGTATAGAAAAAATATTATATTATAAAACAGAGACGCATAGAGAATAATACTTGAATCATTAATTCTTATTTTTTCTTATTCATTATTTGCTATATATACAAAGTCAACATTTATATTTGCTATATATATACAAAGTCAACATTTATATTTTGCCATATTCAGTATTATTATCAATAACATTGCATACATTTCTAAGATTTAGCATGCATGTTATTATTTATTTATATAATTTACAAGCCAAACAAAAACGAAAAAATATGTTTCAATAAAGAATTTATAAGAAACGAATGAACAAATCCTTGATATGTAACTACGTCAATGGTGTGGATATCTACTGATAATACTCAATAGTCCCCTCTCTTATAAATCTATCCGTCTACTTTCCCTATGGCTCATATACATTGTAATAAGTTTATTTTATATTAATCCTATTTAATGTTCATCTTTGAAACATCTTTAAAAAATACAGTCCAGTTATTTTATTTATTAAAATTGAAAACATACATCTTCTCAATTCTAGTTAGTAGATCCTACTGTTAGCTATCTTAATTGTTCATGTATAGACTAGGTTTTTTTTCGATTGATAATTTACTTTATTTAACGATAACATTTTCTGGTTGTGTTAAGATGCCTTAATAGTTATATTATTAACTTATTGATCGGGAAATGAACACCATAATAAAAATAATTATTTTGAACAAATGCAACAATAACTTTTTCATTTTATTTCCCATGGTGTAATAGCTTCGTATAACAGCTTCGTATAATATTGAACAAAAAAAAGACGTAATTTAAGAACGTCTTAAAGGGCAACATCTCACGCGATTCTATATTAGACTCAAAACCGGGATGTCGTTATTATACGTCTGCGATGTTTGAAATAAACATTTAAATTAATTTATATGTCATCCGATAATAACATTATAAAGTTGTAGTTTCGGCACGCGCCGTCGCTCGCGCGCACACCCTGTGAGGTCTCGGACGTGTGTTACCAACCATAACACACGTGCATCTTCCCATAATAATATAGCGCAGAATAGCAAACTTTAACAATATTTTAAAATTATAAAAGCAATATTTTTAGAAGATATGTGTATTTAAAGATAGGGATCATCGAATAATTCAAGGAGTTATAATATTAATTACATAAAAGTAATGTGAAATGATTTATAATTGTTTGTTTGTACTTTAGGTCAGAGCCAACAGTTTGGAGGATACCCGCCTCTCTCCTCTCACGTGGATCACAAGCGTATGCTCGGGGGCCCGGGCCAGGCAGACGCCTCCGACAAGAACATCAAGATCATCCTCGAGAATAGCGATCTATGGTCCAAGTTCCACGGCATCGGCACAGAGATGATCATCACCAAGACCGGAAGGTAACTAATCATTTTAATTAATAAAACGATGATGACATATTCAGTGATATAAGGAAAAATAGAAAACGCGTGGTAAAAACAGGAAGAACAAATTAGTGAGAAACATCATTAAAATTTAGTTTAAGAAACTTTCGAAAAGGAAGAAAAAAAAAATTATTTGTATATAAATACGCCATTACGTGTTCCATTCATTGCATTTCTTTCGTAAGTATAACAGGTGAAAACATTACCGTGAATATTACACATATTTTCCCACGATATTCGAATATGTCATCACATTTTCTTAAATGATTTGTTTACTGTTAATCCGACATGAATACAAAAAACATATCCAAACTGCTGTATTTGAAAGTGACCCATTAAGCCCTGTTTCATGCCTGATCCCTAAAAGGGGTGTCCGTGTAAGCTTTCTCACGGTAGGTGTCGCTATAAACAATGGACGGGGATTACTGTCGGGTGGACACCGGTCAGCTTGTGGGGACACACTTTTATTTCGGCCACCTCTTTATTACACTAATTAAGCACATTTCCTAGAAAATAAAAATACGGATTATAAAGAACGTGGGAAAGTTACGTGTGAAACTTATGAAAGAGGAAATGTGCGGTTCCTGGTATTGTTAGCGCTGATTGACTGCTGTAAACACGGTTTATATATTAATTCTAAGTCTGACATTGAATACTACGATCACAGGTCTAATAAAGGCTTAGATTTAAACAATGTAATTAGATTTTTGTAAAGTTTTTTTTATTTAAATATATAAATAGAATATGAAAATTACGGTTTATTCTGGAACAGTTCTAGAAGAAGTTGTAAAAAATCACACTAAGTATATCAGTATCTTCCCAGTCAAGTTCCTCTAAAATGGATACCCAAATTACACTGACTTAAATAATCTAATCACAACCGTATGATGTATCGAGCGCGTGCTTTGTTCCTAATTAAGAACTTTAATAACCTCTCAGGATATGACTGATTATGAAAAATATTAAGAAAAAATATATTGCTTCCTGTAAAAGCAGTTATATTGTCGCTATAATTACGGATTTTACAAAGGTGTTTAATTACGATTTTTTTTGTAAGGGCTTAAAATGGTTCATATATTTCTAGGAAATGCATAAAAGTACACATACTGTATTGAACCGGGCAATGGGGCCATTTCTGTGTAGGTGTTAGGGGCTGTATTGACTCTCCGTCACGTCACAAAAACGGTGTTAATGGAAGAACTGGGCCGAATAAGCCTGCACGAAGGGAGTGTTTATTTTAGGGGTTTGAGGTACATATTTGGTAGAAAAGGTCAGAAAATCCTACAAACAAACACCTGCTTACCGGTATTGTACAATTAGTCCGGGCAGAATTTGTTTTGAAAGAAAAGAAAGGACGTAATGATTACTTCATTGAGGGGAGGGGTAGTCGAGCAGACGACAGGTCTACCGGACGTGACGATTGCACACCTCCACACCGCGAGGTGTTGATTATTTACCTTGACAGTTTTGTGCCAGAGAGAGAATTAAAATCAACAGCTTTTGTAGGACTGAATTTTTCCTACAAATGACGGATTCGATTCGTATTTTATAAATGTTTTCCTGTAGAATTGACAGTGGGCTGTTTATCTGATCTGTTTTGACTTGCAACCTTCCATTTTGGTTTCTAATTGGATCGCGTCAATTTGCATTCCACAGTTAAGTTTATTAGCATTAACTCGTAACATGTTACGAGACAAGAATCGCTAGCACGGCTTTGTGTAGCTGACGACAGAGCTAGGAAAATATGGTAGTTTTATTTGTATTGCTTTCAAATACGTTTTATTTCCCATCTCATTTTTTTTTTTTTTTTTAACTTAACCTTTTACTTTCGATTAAAAAGATATTTCTATAATTTCTAATTTTTGTTAGAAAACAATATCAATTATTCCAAAGGCGGGAATGACGAATGTTTGGTGACGAAAGCGCGCGTGCTCGTCCTATTATCCAGAATAGAGTGCTGAGGAATTCACCACCCGGTTCTATTCAAGTCTAGTTTAGTATTCACCGAAATGTTGCCGAAAGTGAAAAGTGTTGAAAATGTAGGTGTGAACCCCACAGCGAAGTTTATCCCTAATTATCGAGAGTACAAGGGTGGGTTGTTTTTCTCGTTAGGAACAGCTGTTCGATCTTTGTCGATAGGTGATTGAAACTAGAATCGATAAGTCGGAACAAGAGGTAATTTCAGCCTTCCGGCGCACCGTCGTTCCCTAGGGGCCATCTTATTGTCTTCTTTTACCTATCTCTGAGCCGGACCAATTTTTGACACCTCGTCGACTTATTCCGGTTAAGGGTGTCCAAAATCGCTTGTTAACTGATCATGTTAATTATGTAATTAGACACATCCTCTTGTGCGGAACAACAGAAAACTTGTTCCCAATTACCGACCGACCAGAACCACGACATTTTTTTTCTTTGGAATCAAAGGTGCCGCTCTCCACGTGAATCCAGCGTAACATTCTAGTCGCAATAACATTTCGTCACTCTACATGTCAGAAATAAACCAATTAAATTATATCTCCGACTAATCCTATAACTATTTACACAAAAAACGCGCCAAAGTTTCTATTTCAAATATAAACATTTATTTAACAAGTTTAATAAATTAGAAGCAAATTTTGACCTGCATTTCTTTTATTTAAAAAAAAATATTTATTTATAAAGTTGCATCTTTATAAATAAAGGGAAAAGAAAATAACAAACAATATTTCTTATTATTTTACATAATTTATTTGTCTGAGTAAATTCAATTGAACTGATAGATAATAGCATGTTAATTATATAATTGAAAAAGAGGAAAATGTATAATTTTGGGCGCGTGAGCGTCCGACTAATTGCCGAGGCGCCAGGTCCTTGTCGCCACCCGTAGGATTATCACACAATACCATGTATCAATACCTTTCTCTTTAATAGAGAAGTGTTGTCGCCTTTTCTGTGTCTGATTTTACCGCCAAACCCTGCAGGAGATAGAAGGCGCGATACATATGGAACGTGAATAGATTGTGTCCAAAGCGTCACTTTCAACAACGAAACACTTAGAAAATTGTCAAAACAAACACGAGACATAGCACTTTAACTTTATATGTAAAAAATCTAAAGAAACGTTTAGAAAAATATGAAGTCTTTAATGTTACCGACTGACAATTGAGTTCTCTGGCCGAGGTGTTTATTGCCCGGCTCTATCTCGCCCTCCTAAAACAACAGTCGCTATCATTTAAGTAAGAAACGCTTAAAATCCTGTTTTATTTCGAGGTGCCTATTGCGACACGTTATGTTCGTCTGTTGACAGACGGCAGGCGAAACGAGCGAATTTTAACACGTTGTAGGTAGTGGGTTTGAGGGAGATTTCTGACAATGTTCATTTCTCACACCCGGCGACAAACGTCGAGTTTCCATATCTCTCAACTTGTCTCGCATCCATTAGCGGACAAAATATGTTTTCTCTAAATCGGAATCAGAACTTTATATATAGATGTTTTGCACTTATCATCAGTTTATCGTCCAAAAGGATAAGAATTAAATAGACAATTTTTTCATTGCCAGTGTATTATAATGATATCCTATTCTGTTTTAATATATGTACTTGGTAACTCTGAAATTGATATCTAATCGAAATAATATTGTTTCTTTTATTATAGTTTAACTATACATATTTATTTATTTCAATTTTTCACTGTATTAATTTTTGTCGCCGGAACCATAAAATCAACAAGCAATGTGTTTTTTTATACATTTTGAAATCACTTTATATTAAATATGTAACGTGTTCTCTATTTGCAGGCGAATGTTTCCCACACTGAAGGTTGGTCTAGAAGGCCTTGACCCTCACTCTAAGTACATCCTGTTGGTGGATATAGTACCTGTCGACGACTGTCGCTACAAATATCACAACTCCGAGTGGGTCGTCACCGGAAAAGCAGAACCGCACATGCCCGGCAGATTGTACATTCATCCCGACTCCCCAGCTTCCGGCTCGCACTGGATGAAACAGCCGCTGAATTTCCATAAACTCAAATTGACCAACAACAACCTGGATCAAAACGGACATGTAAGTACTTAAATTTTTAGAACTATTTTCCGCATTTTTTTTAAGTTTAAAAGATTATACAGAATATCACATGAATAAAACATACCAAAATATGAAATTTCCTTACGCACGCTTCATAACAAATATCAAGGTGACGCAATGTAATCAGTTTTGTCGCGAACTAAGTCTGCTTATTGCTGAGCAAGCGCGAAAGTCTGAAATATTGCCAAGAATGTAAATACTGGTGAAGTCATCTGTTTGTTAAATAACAGTTAACTGTCAATAGGACCATACATTTACCGTAGATCTCCCGCGATATTACAACAAAGCAACATACATCACCGACACAAGCCAGAATATCGCCAGCACAGAGACGTTTTTACGAGCAAATATATCAACTTTTTTCTCTAAACGTGGTCAATTGGATACAACAGCTAAACTGACCAAACTTTTGTCACAGACCAAGGCACCTTAATACGGCGCAGAGGACACACTGGGGAGGATTCATGGGTCTGCTTAATAAATAGTCAGAACATTTCTGTACACATAACACGGAAACTGAAGCCGAATCTCGTGCCGCGCCTTATTAGGAACATCTCGAACATCCCCCCTTCAGAAACCTAATCGGCGCTTTCCTCTTTTTTCGCCTCTCTCCACTCGCGTTTATACACTCCCCGGCGTCCAAACTAACGTTAAAATCTTTCAATTTTGCCATATTTCACTAGTTTGGTTAATATCTATCTCACGTGCTCGCGGTAATTTGTAGAAGTAAAAAATATCTCTTTTTCCGAGGCTTTCTAGTTAATATAGTCGGCCTAAACACGAGTCTTTTCACATTACCCCGTGACTTGTCAGTTACGGATCACGCACACTGCTGGTCGTAAGCTCGAGAGCAGCTCGCACAAACAAACACGCGCACATAAAACGCTCCATTTTAATGCTAGATACGACTGCTTTAAAATTAGGTTGAAATAATTTAATAGACACTATAGATGGAGTAGTTTGGAATTATGCATGCATTGTACAGCCGTTAATCGGAGATTAAAGCTAAGCTCGGTACATCAAGTCTGTTATTTAGCATATAGAATAAGCGCACGGCAAACTCTAATGGGTATAGGAAATGATATTTATCTATATTTTATGTATTTCAATTATCGTTGTAAGTTTCGGTTTGTCAGTTCGGTATCTTTACACAAATCGATAAATGCACAAAATTCAAGCTCATAATAGATAAAACAGAAGCCGGGTAATATGGTATAAAACTGCTGGAACATTCTAGGATACAGTAACGTGTTCGCCCTCTTATCATAATCTACATAGCCTTTTATAGCAATTAAAAAGTAAAAAATTCAACGATCTGTACCTATGTTCATATTTACAAATAAAGCACGTGGAAACAGTTTATTACAAAACGCAATTCTTTTATTCAACAATATAGATAAGTTGTACCTTAATTAAAACATTTCCCCATTATATTGTAAATACCAGTATTTCCATACACAGTAAATATTTGTCCCGGTTTTTCCTATAAGGGTTACTCATGCCTCTGCCTCCTCAATCCATCCCAACTCTTCGTGTCGTAATTACCTCGGCACGAGTGCGTGAAACAGACAGTTTGTTCTTAATAGAAATTCTCTCCCCTGGGAGAGAGCCGATCTGCGTGCTGGGCAATAGCAAGGCAGGGGAATGTTTAAATAACTCATTTGTAAATGTTGTCTGTCAACAGTCTGACTTTTAAAGTCACAAAATACGTCGCCAATATCATTGCAAGGTTTTCAAATTTTACATGTAAAAATATAATGGCAATTAATGGAAAATTATTAAGTGTTTTTAATCCCACCGCTGGCACCAAAAAAACATGCGGTGCTACTTATGCCCTGGTAATGGAGTTTGCATACATCCCGCTTTATTATTTGTATTTGAACCAAAATGGAAGATTAAAATCTTGCTGCATCCATCAAGTTGAGCTAAGATCGTTTTCAATTCAGCTCAATTTTCATAATAGCGAAACTCTAATTTGCATATAATTTTAGGACACTAAAAGCCGAAATGATATACAAAAAAGATCCGCTGTAATTACACACTCAGTGAGGGTTGACTACACTAATCGATGGTCCATTAATCTGGGCAGTTATATAAACACGTATATATTTTATTAGATTTTATGATTTATTGTGTAGACTATTATTTCCGCGCCACGTGGCCTCAAATAAATAGAGTTGTAGTTCACATGTCGTCTGCCTTGTTATGAGAGATAAGTGACGACCCGTCACGGTCGCCCGTGGTCAAAACTATTACACCATGTCGATCTTCACGACGCGTCAATTACGATAGTTTTTCAGTTTTGCTCTTATCTTGTTAATCTGAAGAAATTGTGCCATTATCTTCGCCGATTTGTAACAATACATGTCTATCTGATTTTCTTGAGGGTATGATATCGTGTACATTTAGTGAGGGAAGATAGAGATGTCGCCATGATTATTATCTCCGAGATTTAATGTTTGTTGTGAACATGGTAACACATGTAGGGCTCGCTATCGCGCGGTAATGGTACAGACATCGAGAGATACTCCGATAACACCACGCTCAACAACGGAACTAGAAATAAAACAATAATTTATAACACTGACATATGTTATATTTCCGGAAAAAATGATTTTAAAAGTTTAACAAAAGGAAACTTCCCAATTGAACATTGATATGATGGAATAGGTGCATTGTAAAATGATGAGGGTATTTTCATTACAAACATATTGGACTTAATTTTCAAACTAAAAGCAGCAATTTTATAAATAGAATCACTTTGATGTTGGGTCTGTGCGAGCTGATCATGGAGTACTCTTCCTCCCCTAGTAAATCTCCCATCACAACTACTCCTCATAAAACTCATAGCGAAATTTTTCTAATTTTCATGTTTTGAAATATCATCCAATTCGGTTTTAAAAGTGAACGTTAAGTTACGTTTAATTGTTAGGCGTACTTTACAATGGTACACATGTTTTTTTCCCCTTTTGTGTAATTTTCCAAGTTAGCTTTCAGCAGTAGAAAGCACGTTGAAGCGCTGGTGTGTTTACGAGCTGTGCTATCGTGCGCCTGCGATACACTGTCTGTATAAGATTAATTAGTTTTTTGGTGATTTTGACACAAATAGGTACGAAAAACATAATGATTCACAAATTCTCCGTGTCAATCATGAATAATGTTTGTACCCAATCTCGCAACACCCAATAACAGTATCGCTCACGATTACACGGGAATCTGCCCGTACCAGATCTATTTATTATTTATACTATTTTACTGGGACGCCATAAACATCCTTAATAGTTCCTTCATGAACGACATATAAGAAACCAAGTTCTGACTTGAATGTTCTTTTTAAAGCTCTTTTCCGCGGAATAATCAACAATTTGATAACATAAAAATGAGCACGCGCACTCTAATTAACAACAAAGGAAAATCGCGTTGCCACTAACGGGGTTTTGTGTGTACTAACATAAAAACGACACAATAAATCTACAACTTAATCCGGATTCTAATAAACAAAGTGCGTACTGTACTTAAATATTTGTTTCATTACGAAAGAGAATTGCAGTTTCCCAAAAGAAAAGAAAAGAAGAAGAGTTCCATTCTGGGTTTTTTTCTCAAAAGAATTTCATTTGCGTTTTTTGTGATAAAATTGAAATAACATTTCCCTGAAAAAATATATATTAATATGCGTTGAATTGATATTAATATGATATTTGCTATTATTTATTCTTATTTTTGCCTGAAATTATTATAATGCATAATTTTCAGCAGCAGTTTTATTACGACGATTTAATTTATTTTATTTATCTTTAATTGTAGATAATTCTAAATTCGATGCACAAGTACCAATCCCGGATACACGTGGTCCAGGCTAACGACATATTTACCATGAGATGGAATTCCTTCAACACATACGCATTCGAAGAGACCACCTTTATCGCTGTCACTGCCTATCAAAACGAACAGGTAAATATTTCGAAATGGATATAAAAACAAACGAAACGATTGAAGTATTTTTTCATATAAAGAAAAATATATTGATTATTATGTTAAATAAATGTGTGTTTTTTACACTTAATTCATCATTAGAACACTTTTATAAGGTTTAAAATTTGAGAAAAAGATGATAATTTTAGAACAGACGCTAGTGATACTTAATATCGGGAAGTGAATCTCCTACAGCACTGTCAGGCCCGTCTGAGGTTTTAGGTGCCAGCTCTCAGCCATAAATAATTACATGTAATTACACAGTCAGTAATCAAACAGATGCTAAACATTTCAAAGTCAGATTCGATATCTATTAATAATCAGAGTCGAAGTCTCTCCCGCATGGAAACCTATACGCCCTCTAACCATTTCCGATACATCGAGACCAGAGGGGAAGCAAGCAACTCGATCTAAACAATAGAATCGGATAGGGCAATATCCGGACAAGATCGATATCAATTTGGACTAAGAAACCCTATCTCTCTTACCGATGTGGTGTTAGTAGTAGTTTCTCTGATGGTACATTATGGTCGGACTGGACGTCAGCGGATTAACTTACACCCATCTGTTGTCCAGGGTAATTTCTGGTCGTATATGGCGTAACAGGATGAAAGACATCCCTTCCTGTGATTTGGTCAATGTTCCTTCCTTTTGAATCTTTGATGAGAACGGTGGTAGGGGGATCATTATAATAAAATATGGATGGAGTCTCTCTACAACAGTGACACATGTTTTGTGTTTGATCCCCTATAGAGTATACCGTAAACAAGAATTAATTAGGGTAGTTTTGAGAAAAAATAAAAATATATTAATATGTTTTTTTTTAATTTCATTTCCAGATCACACAACTGAAGATTGACAATAACCCATTTGCTAAGGGTTTCCGAGACAACGGAATGGGCCGAAGGTACAACATGTAACTATTTATCTATTTATTTGCTCTCAATAAATCTTCCCTTTTACTTAAGCGCTTTCTTTTTTTAATTTAAACGCCGTGTTCTTTTATTCTAAAAATAATCAAAGAATTCAATATTAAGGTGTTTTTTTTGTTTAACTGTCAGTGACCGTTGTCGTCAGTGTTTTTCACTGATGGCCATTTGTTTGACTTTTCTTTAATTGATTAAGTTAATACCACGTGTAGGAGAAGACAGCGTTCAGTGTCCCTTTCCCTTCTCCTCGCCTATCTATAAATCTTCTAACACTATTGATCTCTGTGTTTTTCAGGGACCACCGGTTAAGTCTGAAGCGACCAGCCGACGATGAAAACGTGTCTGACATAGGAAAAGGTGAGAGATAGATTTTTCTAAAAACCTTCCATTAAATTTTCAACTCGCAAAAACAGGCACATTTCTATATTAAATTATCTGTCAAGCTTGAAGCTATCGTCTGGCGATGTCGCTCTCACTTGCTCGCTCCAAATCTGCTAGAAGGCCGATATGTCGACACTTCTCCAGGCACCCGCGCGGAGTGATTTTGCGCTTTTATTGCAAAAATGGACGCGTTTTTTAGCCTCAGTGAATTTGCTTCCGCCACCTTGTCGGAGCGGATCTGAGATGAGGAAAGAGAATTGGTACGCGGTTCTGACTTGATGAAATTACCTTCTCTTCCTTTAAATATTGATGGAGGGAGTTAATTAGATCAGCCAGAGTTTTGCTGAAATATCATCGCAAGTTTTCGCACCTCTCGGTAGAGTAATTGTATTAGCCAATGGAATCGCTCTTCGACACCTGCCGGTATATAGCTAAAGCCGGTCGACATCACCGGATTTCCCCTTTCTGCGATCAGTTGTTTGTCGAATTAAATCAAATTATCGTCTGCTTCTGCCTCTAGATTTGGCGGGTTTTCTTACGTTGGGAAATTGCAATTTGACTGTCATTTTGATGGAAAATCATGTCAGGTACTCCACGCAAAGTGATTCGTATCACACGCTGTTTTTTTTGCTTTCTCGCTATTTTTGTTCAGAAGACACATAACTGGCAAGGAATGCAAATAGAATAAAAAGCGACCACATATCATCACTTATAGCGAGCTTTCCACACCGGAATTGGAAGTGGATCAAGAACAATAATGAAATAGAATACAAAAAGAAAAAAAAGTAATTCGAATGTTAAACTCAATTTTGCTCTTGCATACCATCTCAAATTATTCTACATCATTTGGCGTTACCGAGATTACATCAAACGTCCTCTTTCTCTTTAATTTCCTAAGGTTCACAAATCAAATAAGTCTTGCCGAGGTTGACAATATTTATTTTTACTTTGAACACATGTAGATAATTTTACGAAGGATGTTATTTAAAACTTATTGAAATTTATATACATAACAACATAATGACTTAGATTAAAATGTAAAAATCAACAAAGGAAATGAAATGTCAGTTTTCGAGATTCTTGCTTGCAATACATTTTTTATGCTTAAAGCAAAAATAGAAAAAAACAAAAGAAAACAAAAACATGTTACAAAGAGTCATCCAGCGGTGATGCACGATCACAGCTTTTTGCTCGTCAATTCAGATTAAAATTTAATGACACATGTGAGCATTGTATTGAGGCATTGATCCGCGGAGGGTTGACATACGATACCGAGCCAGCATCTAATCTTACACACAAGTGTGAAAATTGCCTTCAATGCCTTCGTGATTCCGGATTCTTCTTCCCGCGCTCCGACCCGAACATTAACACCTCGCCAAGTGAAAAGTCTGTTCCTTCCCCACTGCTCATTTAGAAGATTATTCGTGACGTCACATTTGTATTGACTGTTCTTTTCGTTAATTTTATGTCATGTTGTCATGAGTTACATCGATTGTCTCTCAGAGTAATTTGTCAATGTTGGAGAATTAAGATTGCTGTGCCGTTGCTGTAATTACAAGAGTATGTTGCATTGTTATCGGGACCTACGTATACTAATGTGATTTTTTAATGTTTCCAGAATCGAACTATGCCAAAAAGATGAAAACGGACGATGAACTTAGCGACAGAAACTCCAGCTTGAACTCGTCAAATCGCATCAAATCTGAAGACGAAAACGACCCAGTTTCTGACACCTCTGATGACGTTCACAATGATACACCGGAAGGGGATCTACCTTCGTGTCAAATCGGCAGCAAGTCTTCATCAGGAATTTCGCCCGGCGCTCCATCCCTCAGCAAGACGACCAGCCCCACACAACACAGTGCTTCTAACCAGCCGTCTACCCAGTGTCAGTACCTAGGAGTGGGCTCCAAGTCGTACGGAAGTCAGTGTATGGGTAGTGATCAGGTGTACTACCCTCACCATAGTTCCGTCAACAGAGGATCAACTAGCTCTTTCCTGCCCGTGTCCACCACCTCCAGTCTCCTCCAGCCTGTCGGCTCCTCCAACCTCCACGCCGTCAGTCCACAGATGCAGGCGTGTCGTCTATCTGGTCCGAGTAGTGACTGTGCTCTGAGGCAGTCGTCAAGTCACCTGTCGTCTGGTTCCCATGGATACGGTATCCGTACGTCGCCCCCACAGCATCCTTCGCTCCCGTCTTGTACCTACATGCAGCCCTCACAAGCCTACACATCACACCTCTCGCCAAACGTGCACATGATGAACATGAACTTTCCTGGTCCAATGGCATGAGGTGGGCCTACTAAACAATCTTTATTGTACATTTGGTAACCATGCAGAGCCCCTATGCGTCCTATGACAGCGCCTAGTGAATTAGGCCAATGCCGGGCCTCGTGAGGACACGTCGTTAGGACATATATACAATGATGCCAAAGTCATTCCCCATGTCGTGTCCAGCAGTGTGTATGCTGTATAAACCAATGAATTGCAATGTGTGTTCATAGACTTCACGCGTACATGGTACCATGTGACTACTGGTGACCCTACCGGGATGTACACGAACTGCGTTCCTTTGGCCCTAAAGGACTCAGCTGATCCTGTTAGTGGTCAGTGTGTTGGCTGGCCGAGGAAGGCCGGAAGGTGCAAGGCTTTAACTGTGACAGTGACACGTGTAATGATACAGAGACAGGATGTTGTGATTCGGTTGTATGTATGGAGTCCACGGTTCTGTTTACTCATTTAAATGTCTCAGTTTTGTTTTTGTTATAGAAACCTCATACGTATTTGTTTGATGCATGCGTCAAAAGATGTACAGTTTCATAATCTGAACCGGAAACGGAAATATAAATATATATATATACATACAATATTGCGTAGGCAATCAAATCGTTTCGCTTAGGTTCCTGTTGATAGTGTATTTGTTTGATGACTCTGATATGGTGCTATACAATGCCGCTGTCTTGTCATTGTAATTACAACTCAAACATGCATCACAATATCACTCTTATTTTATTAAATTATTTAAAAGTGAATTATCTTGTCCGTTATTCTTTATACCTATCTACATGTTTTATTGAACTTTCAGATTCATGAAATATTCAGAATTAAGGAAAGGGTTGATGAATGAAATATGTCACTCATGAAAGGTTATCATGAAGGCTATCACATGTTTTTGAAACATATATCAAATATATCATTGAAACAAAACCCTTACTAAATTCTGAATATGAGAATTTTTAATTAGAAAGTTCATAAGAACAGCATGTTGTCATCATATTGGATGGAACTTTGTTGTAAATTATGTCTCTGATAGTAACATTAATAACACAATGTTGTTATATAAACCACGAGGTGACAGTTATAATACAAGATAAATGTTATAAGATAGAACACGAGGTTACAGTAATAACACGAGGTTATAGTAATAATGCAAGATAAATGTTATTATATATAAAACTAGATTATAATAATACAGGACCATTATAAAAAATATAACACGAGGTGACAGTAACAATACAGGATCAATGTTAAAATATATAACACGAGGTCACAGTAATATTAAAAGGATTCATGTTATTAAATATAACACGAGGTTACAGTAATAATACAGAATCCATGTTATATATAACACGAGGTAACAGTAATACTACATGATCAATGTTATTATATATACCACGAGGTAACAGTAATAATACATGATCAATGTTATCATATATAAAACGAGGTTACAGTAATAATACATGTTAAATGTTATTATATATAACACGAGGTTACAGTAATAATACAGAATCCATGTCATTATATATAACACGAGGCCACAGTAATAATACATGATCAATGTTATTATATATAACACGAGGTAACAGTAATAATACATGATCAATGTTATCATATATAAAACGAGGTTACAGTAATAATACATGTTAAATGTTATTATATATAACACGAGGTTACAGTTCTAATACAAGATCAATGTTATAATATATAACACGAGCATACAGTTCTACTACAAGATCAATGTTACCTATATAACACGAGGTTACAGTAATAATACAGAACCCATGTTATTATATATAACACGAGGCCACCGTAATAATACATGATAAATGTTATTATATATAACACGAGGTTACAGTAATAATACAAGTTCAATGTTATAAGATATAACACGAGGTTACAGTAATAATACAAGTTCAATGTTATAAGATATAACACGAGGTTACAGTAATAATACAGAACCCATGTTATTATATATAACACGAGGCCACAGTAATAATACATGATCAATGTTATTATATATAACACGAGGTTACAGTAATAATACAGAATCCATGTTATTATATATAACACGAGGTCACAGTAATACTACATGATCAATGTTATTATATATAACACGAGGTAACAGTAATAATACATGATCAATGTTATCATATATAAAACGAGGTTACAGTAATAATACATGATAAATGTTATTATATATAACACGAGGTTACAGTTCTAATACAAGATCAATGTTATAATATATAACACGAGCATACAGTTCTAATACAAGATCAATGTTACCTATATAACACGAGGTTACAGTAATAATACAAGTTCAATGTTATAAGATATAACACGAGGTTACAGTAATAATACAGGATCCATGTTATCATACATAACACGAGGTAACAGTAATAATACAGGATCAATGTTATCATATATAACGAGAGGTTACAGTAATAATACAAGATACATGTTATCATATATAACACGAGGTTACAGTAATAATACAAGATCATTGTTACTATATATAAAACGAGGTTACAGTAATAATACAAGATCAATGTTATAATATTTAACATGAGGTGACAGTAATAATACAAGATCAATGTTAAAATATATAACACGAGGTTACAGTTATAATACAAGATCAATGTTATAATATATAACATAAGGTTACAGTAATAATACATGATCAATGTTATCATATATAAAACGAGGTTACAGTAATAATACATGATAAATGTTATTATATATAACACGAGGTTACAGTTCTAATACAAGATCAATGTTATAATATATAACACGAGCATACAGTTCTAATACAAGATCAATGTTATAATATATAACACGGAGTTAAAGTAATAATACAAGATCAATGTTACCTATATAACACGAGGTTACAGTAATAATACAAGTTCAATGTTATAAGATATAACACGAAGTTACAGTAATAATACAGGATCCATGTTATCATACATAACACGAGGTAACAGTAATAATACAGGATCAATGTTATCATATATAACGAGAGGTTACAGTAATAATACAAGATACATGTTATCATATATAACACGAGGTTACAGTAATAATACAAGATCATTGTTACTATATATAAAACGAGGTTACAGTAATAATACAAGATCAATGTTATAATATTTAACATGAGGTGACAGTAATAATACAAGATCAATGTTAAAATATATAACACGAGGTTACAGTTATAATACAAGATCAATGTTATAATATATAATATAAGGTTACAGTAATAATACAGGATCCATGTTATTATATATAACACGAGGTTACAGTAATAATACAAGATCAATATTATAAGATATAACATGCGGTTACAGTAATAATACAGGATCCATGTTATTATATATAACACGAGGAAACAGTAATAGTACAAGATCAATGTTATCATATATAACACGAGGTTACAGTAATATTGCAGGATCAATGTTATAATATATAACACGAGGTTACAGTAACAATACATGATCAATGTTATTATATATAACACGAGATTACAGTAATAATACAAGATCAATATTATTATATATAACACGAAGTTACTGTAATAATACAGGATCCATGTTATTATATATAACACGAGATTACAGTAATAATACATGATCAATATTATTATATATAACACGAAGTTACTGTAATAATACAGGATCAATGTTATTATATAAAACACGAGGTTACAGTAATAATACATGATCAATATTATAATATATAACACGAAATTACTGTAATAAAACACGATCAAGTTATAAGATATAACATGAGGTTACAGAAATAATACAGGATCACTGTAATTATATATAACAAGAGCTGACAAGATCAATGATTATATATTACACGACGTGACAATAAAAATACAGAAATGGCGATATTTTTATTTTTTTGTGATACATCACCGAAATTAACATGAATAAAAATCCAAACCAATTAAACACTTAAACAGATTTTAAATTGAAAACTTACAACACAAACAAATTAAACAACACTAATTAGAAATGGTTCCGTGAAAGGACGTAATGATTGGATACAAATTCATCAAGCTTTCACACAAACGAAAATGCAAATATGTGTGAGATAAGTTTCTGAGATTGAGTTTGTATGAAAGAGATCACGTATCGTCAGGTCTCTGATCCAACTTCACCAGTGTTACACGACACATAAGAATGAAACATCGACACCGTATGTGTATAATCACGAAATAAATTTGTCAATTTATCTCAGATATCTTGTCAATTAAGATGATTTAATGTGAATATAAACACACAATGTTTTCTTATTTCAATTTAATTTCTGAGTGTTTTAGTGTCAATTAAATGGCAATAATAAACAATAACATATAGTAAAGAGTGAGCATTTATCAATGAAAGAGAAGAAAACACGCTATGTCTGTATAAGAATTCGCTTAGTGAAATTACTTTTACCTTAGATATCTTATCAATTGTGATTATATAATGTAGATATGACGATTGCACTTACCTGGAGATAAGTACAGTGAGACTTATTGGAAACTTACCTGGAGATAAGTACAGTGAGACTTATTGGAAACTTACCTGGAGATAAGTACAGTGAGACTTACTGGAGACTTACCTGGAGATAAGTACAGTGAAACTTATTTCTAGACGGCTTCCAAACCTGCACCTCAACATGTAAAATGATATAAAAAAAAACCAGTAACATTGAATTAATTGTTTTAAATCATGTTTTATATGGTATTATGATAGAATGGATCAACACGTGTGTTTGTACTTCATAAGAAAAATCAAAATAATAGCAATTGCTTACCAGTAGTAAATTACTAGAAATCGAAAGTAGAGTCCATGTTTCCAGTCGATAAAAGAATTATGATCTTACTCGATTTAATTTGCATAAAACAATGTTATTTCTACTTTTTTTGATGTCCATCTTATATAACCATAGGAAAAATAACTTCCAAATGTTTTTGGATTCGCCAATTTCTTGATTAAAATGATATTGGCTCATTTAGTGTGACTTGATATACATTAACATTAAAGATGTGACAAGGACAAGCCTGAAACCTCCTACTATCAATATGTCGGATAGGAAATTACAACAAATAACGTATAGGCTATACTCGCTGAGTATCCCTCTGTAATATAGACCCCAGTTACAGTTATTACTGACTAGCTGTTCAATTAGACAAACGTGAAACAGGTGAGAAAATACAGAAAGTAAAATAAAATACAGCATTGAAACACAAATACTCTGAACTCTCGATACAAAGGAAATAACAGACGGTAGGTCATACTTAATAAGCAGGAATGATACATTCTTACATCAATTATTATTATCAATTATCAGAAACGTCCATGTAAGATATCATAACCTCAAACATAGCCCAATGTCTGATAAAACACAAGATATATTGATTGGGTAATCGGGGAAAGAACGGTCATGATATGTGGCTGTTGACCCCTTTCTCTGGTACAGTTTGTTTTGATGAAAGGTTGCGTCTATCGACCAATTCTTTTTATTTACAAGAATTGCTAATTATTTTTTCTAACCACATGCATTAATGCTATATTAATTGCAAACGCGTACAAAATTATACAGTGTATCACAACTCCGTAACACACAATTATTTTAACAATTTTTCGGCAAAGCTTCTAGCTAGCGTAAATTCATTTTCCGTCATGACATCGAAGTAAATAGTTGACATAGACAACGTTACACTAAAGTCTGTGAAAAATATAACAAATGAGATGAGGG